TCGTCCACAGCAATCTGGTCTGCTGGTGTTTCAAAGGGCTTTCAAGTGGCTGCCTTGGGGTGTGTTGCTATCTCCTCCATGGCCCTAGATGCTGGATTTGGGGGGCAGGCAATTTGCAGGCCCACGTGTGGGGAGCCAGGGTGAGAACCCAGAGGGCTGAGGAGAACTGTTGTGACGTTGGTGGGCACTTGGGAAAAGGCTAGCAGATTTCACCAGAGTGGCCTTGACGTGGGAGGTGGCATTTGTGATGGACAGGCAGGGAGGACACCCAAATCGAGGGGCAGCACGTGCACAGAAGAAGGGCGACAACCTGGCGGGTCAGTGGAGCAGGAAGCCGCGGTGCTGGGGTAGGGCATGCGAGGGGGGAGGCGGATGACCATACTGTTCGTAAGAACAAAGCCAGGTCTGGAGGGATGCTTCACTAGGTGACGCTTGTTCTCTGATGTTAAGAAAGATTCAGGTGCAGCCGAGAGAGTCTGCAACCATACTTGGAGTGAGGGGGGCCCCAGCCAGGGAGGAAGTGCCCCCCACCCCCTGTAACCCCGCAGCAAGTATGCACTCCCTGATTGGGGTGCAGGGTTGCCCTGTGGCTCTGCGCTAGCAGATCTGCAGGCCCAATGCCAGGGCACAGCCTGGAGGGATCCGGATGAGGCCTGAGCAGTTATCAGGTGGTGGGTCCAGCAGAGGCCAGCTGGCCCTGCCAGGCTCCTGCCGCCTGTGCCCAGCCACCTCTGCCCCAACCTGGGAGACCCTGCAGCCCTGGGGATCCCTGTGCAACCTCCCACCTAGAAGAAATGGTGCTTCCCCGCTGGGCGGAATCCGCCAGCGAATCGCACACTGAGGGTTCACTGTGGACCACTGCTCTGGGCGCTGGGGTTATAGCAGGAGACAAACAAGGAGCTGACCTTCTAGTGGGGGGAGGAAGATGATAGACATAATAAATGAATAAGTGAATCACATGGCCACTTAGATGGTGCTAAGTGTTATGGGAGTAAAACAAGGCAAGGGGACAGGAAGAGCAAGTGGGGGGGTTAAAGTTTTAAATAGGTGGTCAGGGTAGGCCTCGCTAAGAAGGTAACATGTGGACAGAGCCTTGACAGAGGTGAGGGAATGAACCATACAGACGCCCAAGGGAAGAACATTTCAGGCAGAGGGAACAGCAAGTGCAAAGGTCCTGTGGTACAAACGTGCCTGGAAACCAGTACAGCTGGAGCACAGTGACCAAGGGGAGGGGCGGGAGGCGATGAGGTCGGAGAGGCAAGGGGGAGGCGCGGCAGGTGGGACCTGGTAAGGCTCTGGCTGTTGTTACTCTGAGGGATGCGGGGGCCTATAGGATTTGAACAGAGGGTGGTCTGATCCCACTGTTTAAAAGGCTCTCTGGCTGTTGCTTCGTGACTAGATTGCAGGGGTGAGGGTGGAGGAAGGGAGACCAGTGCAGGGGCTGTTGCCACAATCCAGATGGGAGGTTGTGACCCGGACCAGGTGGTCCAGTGGTGAAACTGATTGGATTCTGGATCTATCTGGAAGAGAAAGCCAAAAGCAGGACATGTGACAGATGAGATGTAAGGAGTGTTGGAGAAGGGCAAGGATGGCCCCAGAGGTTTGGTCTGAGCCACTGAAGAATAGCCTTGCTTCTGCTCCTCTCAGCCCAGAGGATGCCGCCTCTTGGGGCCATGGGACTGGGGCTCCTGCTGGGGCGAAGCAGACTGTGGGGCGGTGGCGGGGGGGGG